CCCCAAAACCCCAAAACCCCAAAACCCCAAAACCCCATTTTAGATTAAAAAAATTGATAAGAGTTGATTTGAAATTTAGATTTTAGAAAAACAATAACAAAAACACACAGATTATCAAAAATATTGATATTGCTCACCATTTCAATAGGAAGTATTTGGGTTCTAGAATTGTCCTCAGAAAAGGGTGCGATGACTCACTAGTTTTAAGAATAATGATGCTTGTCATCTGCAGAAGGAAGAAAATTGTAAAGATCAGACCTTGAATTCTGAAATCAGTGTCTATAAACATTAAATAACTTTTGAAGTCTGGAAATAAATAAAAAAAATTACTCACCTGACTCATTTAGATCATCAAAAGGCATTGAATTTTTAACAAATAGGAACATTCAAATAACCATAGTATGAAAAATAATGATAATTAAACCCCTCATCCAGTTTATTGAATGCATTCCAAAATATTGCTTGCCTGCTCCATACTCTTGCTCAGTCTGAATTATGCTTTTCATACTGTGACCAGAAAGATAGAATATTACAGAAAATACAACTAGCACCTGGAAAGGACTGAAGACATACTTCCCAAATAGTAATCCTCTTGAATCAATATCTCAAAAGCTAAGTAACATATTGACTGATAATCAAGATCCAACACAAGTAAAAAGACATTCAATATGCTGAGCGATGTTCTTGATCAAATTATTTCTGCAACGATAAAGAATTGGTAAAGCATTAAAGTTATCTTCAGTTAGAATGATATCTGAAGTCAAAGTTGAAGAAATAGAGCCAGATTTGCCACAACAAATTCCTCAGTCAGAAGCTTTCAACGGTACTATATCTCAACACGAGCCACCAGAGACAAAAGCTACTTTTTGCCCAAATTCTTGATACTTTTTAATCAGGAAGTGATCAGAGCCAGGCCTTACTGCTGAAAATATTTTTGTGAATCTTAATATCTCTTTAAGTTCATCATCGCTCTATATTTGAATATTAATCAACTACTTTGGGTTATTTAAATGAAGAATTACCTTCTCTTGAATTTCATAACAATTATGCACCAATTCATTGTGAGTTCCAGGAGATAAGATTCCTAACCCCTCTTCAAAATAATGAGTCGATATGCGATATCTAGTGTCAAGGATCTTTACACTCACTAAGCTATCTTCAAATTCCTCAATAGTGTCGGAGATTCCTTCCTTTACAGATTCTTCCATAGCGATAATTCAAAGAAAAGTCAGACCAGAGGCTTCAATTTCATAAAATGTTTCATATTTTCCTTTTTCAGAATGATCTGGTCCTCCTTGGTTCTCCTTAAGATCTTGGAAAGCGACTCCAAGAATTCTTAGACCCTTATCAGAGTATTTTGTGGACTCCTTAGCAATCTCATCTCTATTTTCATCTGTAAGATCTTGAGAATTTCCTTCTGAATCAATATATGAGTCACAGCTTTGAAGGATGCTCTCAATAGGTCCTTTACTGAAGACTCTTTTATCATACCCATAGATATTGTCATCAATGTTTGTGAGAATAGTTGAGACCCTCTTCCTAGCTCCACTGAAAGGAAATACTTGATGGCCTTCACCAAGGTGTTTCGTTTGGTACTCTTCTTGTCTGATATCATATTTCTGGAGGAATTCTGAAAAAGCATCCGTTGTTTTAGTTGACCTATAGATCTTTCCATACGTATTTCATGTGAGGTCTTGCAAGAATTTCTCTAAAACTTTTTCATTTGGGAAGATTAAGTTAAAAGGAGTTAATGGATGCTTGCTTCTTCATTGGAAATCTTTATTTCAGTAAATATTGGAAACTGAAAATTTTCCTTCATCAAGAACTCCAGAAGTTCTGGTTAATACCACATCTATTTCTCCAAATTTCTCAACAAAAGTCTGGTTATCAACCTGAATATTATTTTCTAGGAGTGGAGCTAAAGCTTCTACAATCATGCTTAGATAGGTCTGACCCACTTCGCCCCATGCTGATATATACAAAAATGTCAGAATTAGAATGATCAGGTTCAACAAGGACTCCATAATTCGAATGAAATTTCTTTTTATCACAAAATTTGACCAATGGAAGATAGCTCCAATCATCAAAATAATAATAGCTAGTAAAAATATAAAAATGCAACAAAAGTTCCAAAATTTAGTTATTATTCTTTCTATCTCTTTTTCAATAGGAGTTGGGGGATGATAAAGAGTTAAAAATCTTCAGAGTCTTGAGTATTGATTTTCATCTCCTACAGCTATTATAATAAAATTAGTCCATTCCCTTCAGTCACAGTAGTCTCACTAATAAGAATAGGAGATGGGTTATCATAACTACTAGAGTATGCTGCCATCCTTCTATTATTCTGTAAAAATTCAATTCATTCTTCTAGAGTTTCTTTTCTGACACTTTCTGATTCTCCTGTCATCGTTCTATAAGTTATCAGAAATACGAACGATTCTTCAACTTTAACATTATCTCCTTGAATTAACACTGCATCTCAAGGAATTCTGGACCCTCCTTCAATAGTAACGATATCTCCAGCTTTGAGATCTTGCACCTTTACAAGCATTTTTTGAGAATTTCTGACAACTTCGTATTGCGTTTTTCCTTTTGGAAGATATTGATACCTTAGTAGGGCCTTCCATAGCTTTAAATCTTTGATTGTGTAAAAAATATTTATTCCAAACAGCAATATTAGATACAGTGAGGCATTTAGAAGGCTCTTAGTCTCACTACAGTTCTCACAAATTTCATGACCTGAAGTAGCACCTAAAGTCTCAAAAAGCGAAGCAATCACTAAAAATACCGAGAAGAAAACCATAAGTTTAATGACATTATCATTCATATTCTCTCACAAAGACCTCACAAACCCTTTCTGGTCAAAACTTTCAATCACATTATTTCCCAAAATATCTCTCCCTCGCCACAAACCCATCTTGATCACAAATCCCATTCTCCGCACTCGTCTTATACCCCCTCAACATCTCTTCAGTACTCCCAAAAACATTCAAAAACCACCAGACTTCTTCACTATTCCTCCTATCACAGTACTGCTGAACTAGTTCCTTAATCTGGCCTATGAGTAAATTTAGCAGAAGAGAGAGGGAGAAGTACTTTTAGGGATACTGAAGGAGGCGGGTTCTGCTCTTGAAGTCATTTTTTAGGTATAATTCAACTTATTTATTATAAAATGGGGTTTTGGGGTTTTGGGGTTTTGGGGTTTTGGGG